CACTCATCTAACACCCTGGAAGGCCTTTTGTTGCCCTTCATCTTTGTCCTTGGTTGTATTTGCAGGAGGCGGGCCCTGGCAAGTATGCATAGATACAGTTCTCCTCAGCTCCAAGGTCTCTACCTGCATTCTGATATGGAAAGGGTGGGGTTGGGGGCTCTGGTCTGGAGAACTCAGGAAGAAGAGAGGGGCTGCTGTGGATTTGAGACAGTCAGGCAGAAAGTCTGAGAAGGTAGCTTGAGAATGTCAAGAAAAATATTTTTGAAGAAGGAAAATGACGTTCATAAACAACTTGGAAGAGTGATTTTTTTTCCCCCACTATCAAATTACAGAGCAAAATTTTCTTGAGGTACTAATGAGTTGGGTATAACATCAGTTTTTAAAGTTAATTTTTAAGTTAGTGTACAAGGGAGTGGGTTTGATTGTGGTACTCTGACAGGCATGTTTAATGGTCTTTGTTCTGTTTTGTTCCCCTCCACTGCTTCTTACCTCCTCCCCTCCATCGCCCTCTGGGTAGGTCCCTCCTGCCTCTACACAGTCATGTCACCTGTGTCTACTCCCTTCTCTGTCTGCTCCCTCTCTTTAAGATCTCTTCCCCACACTCCTCATCCCTTCATTTTTATCACCACATACAAATCTGGGTTCCATTCATGAAAGAAGAGAAGATACTTGTCCTCCCAAGTCTGCCTTATTTTGCTTAACATGATTTCCAATTCTATTCATTTTTCTGTCATTTTGCTTTTTTTATATGTACCACATTCTCAATCCATTCATCTCTTTTTTTTTTTTTCCATTCATCTCTTGATGGACATCCAGACTAATTCCACATCCTGGCTAGTGTGGATAGTGTATTAATAAGCATGAATATAGAAGTATTTCCGTGTTACATTGAAGTTGTCAATTTGGTTCTATAGCCATTTATAGATTGGATGGCTTTTATCTTGATGTTTTAATTTTTTGCAATTCTTTATATATTCTGGATATTAATACCCTTGTCTGATGTGTATTTGGTAAATACCTCTTTTTTCCTTTCTGTAGACTATATCTAATATCTTTGGGGGTTGTGGGGCAGTAAAAGTTTGTTACAAGGAGGAAAATGACATTTCTTCCTCATGTTCAGGAATTAAAGCTTTTTAGGTGAAAATAGGGTACAACTTTTATTGGGCAAAGGTTGATTTTTTTAAAAAATCACTATTTTTTTATTTACTCTTTGATGATTCCACGCATATGTGCAATATGTCTTGGTCATAATTCACCCCAAACTCTGGCCAGAGGTTTTCTAATTGCTTTCAGTTCCTTGATTTTAAGAGGTAATATTGTTTAGTTGACCTCACTGTAGAAGGAACAATTTATTTGGGTTAAAAAAAAAACCTGTGCTCCTTTTAAAGGAAAACCCTAAGTCAAAACCACCACAGGATGTGACTGCGTTCCTAGTTGTAACGTCATTGTGTAGAGTCTCAAGCTTTGTCCTCAAGCTCCTCTAATTTGCTGCACTCACACTAAGTGCCCAGAGCTTCATTGCACGGCCAGTGATTAAGAGATTGAAGATTAAGGAGATTGAACCTGGTCCACCTGACTCCAGAGCTTGATTCTTCCATCTCAAGGCTCCATGATGAGAGTGATCAGCAGAGAAGATGAAAGTTCCTACTGTGATCTAATTTGTTTAGGGCAGGGCTGACATCATTTTGGGGTTTGGGATATAGTATCAGGTCTGTTGGACACATTTTGAACAAGTAAAATATAAATGTTTTTATATTTTTCTGGCTGAATAATAACCAGTCTCATTTGTTATAAAAATCATCACCAAGCTTGGTGAGATGGCTCAGCACTTGCTGCACACCTGAGTTCAATCCCAGCAACCCATGTTTAAGAGGTA